TTCAAGCTGTCGAGGTAGGTTAGCATGGAATGATGCCAGACTCGGACTTTTCGATAGACTATACTTGACGCCAAAGATCCATGAGTAGAGCTTGAAACCGGGAACACGAAGGTAGTAGGGGATAGTCAATTCGTTGAAGCGACCCCAGAGCCTCGAAATTGCTTTCAAGGGCAGCGTCGACATGACCTGGACCTGCCATGGTCCGTCGGGCCTGATCTTTGCGCGCTTCTTAGGCGGCGCGCCATCCTGGACGTCGTCCCTCTCCTGCTTCTCGCGCTCGCGCGTCGAGACCTTGTAGAACTGAACAAGGCCCAGGAAGCCGATGCCGAGGCCGACGGGGATCTGGTACCACTGCACTTTGCTGTTGTTGAGGGCGTGCCGCAGGCGGGAGGAGAAGCGAGGGCGCTGCTGCTGCTGAGAGAAGAATCGGGTCGAGGCGCAGGGGCCGTGGAGAGAGAAGAGGTTGGTGGCCCGTAGCTGGCTCTGGCGAGCGTACAGCGTAGCCATGGTGGGAATGGGACCTCAATCGAGGGGGTTTGCGATTGTTTGGGGCCACCGGACTTTTGGCTGGGTTTGCGGGGACGAGCAAATGGGCCAGACGATGACAGTTTGGATGAGCAGGCGTCTTGCGATAAGATCTTGCAGCTCGGCAGCGGCAGCTTTGGGATGACGCAGCACGAACCATACGACTGCGCTAGTCTCATTTGGGCAACCAGGAGCAACGTCCTCTCCATGATGCATTTGAATAGACTTTGAGCACACAAAACTGCTGGAAGCCGAGGAGCGTCATTTCATCCTTTCAAAGTTGTGTTGTCGAGACTGTTCCGAAGCAAATTCGGAATTAATTTATAGAGGCTGCACTGTGGCCCGAACTCGTAAGCCACCAGCCTCATAGAAGGAGAAGTACTTGAGTCGTCCATCTTTGACGGGTCTCAATTGTTCCATGTGTGTCTGAAGCTCGAGAGACTCAACTTCAACTCCCCGAATTTCTCATCATTTTTGCCTGCCCTGGGTTAGTCACTTGGGCAGAGGGATGAGATTTAGTGAAACTCTTGCATCTCTGTGACCGTGGCGTTGCTGACCCCTTTAATGCATCACTATTGCCTCTAGTGACACAGCTCATATTCACATACACATCTTCATAGGAAAACATGCAAATCACATAGAAATCAGAGTGACAGGAAGGTAAGCCTGTCAAAGACGACTACCGATAGGTAAGTTCCAGGTGATGCATACCTCCCTTCTCTCAATGTAAGTTAGGATCAGATGCATCTCATCTTCTGGCTTACATAATCGGGCTGTCACCACCCGCCCGATTGGGACAGCGTGCATGGATCGGGCCTTCCGGGTCCCAGGGACAGACTACGTACCCACGTTTTTAGTGAGGCCAGCGGGTCCGTACCTGAGCTGGAGAGTCTGCAGTCGGAGAGCAACACATGTCCTAAATTTCCCCGTCTACGAACGACACGGTGACATGAGCATCGTTTCCTTGCGCATACACCACTACTCCTTTCCCGCGGACAATCAGACGAAGCTGCCGCGTCGCGCTCTGCGTGGCATGACCGATAGGCCTCATCATGGCCTCTGAAGCCTCGTCTTCCGCCGCGCCCTCTGCGCCAGAGGCTACTTCTGAACACCTGTCCGTAAACCTGCAGGTCTTGTCGCCATCCACCGCTGCCACGTCTAGCCGACCCTTGGTCTTCCCTGGTCTCGCGGCCACCACGACGGTTCGGCAGCTCAAGGAGAAAATTCGACAAGCGCTTCCTCTCAAGCCGACCGATGCCCAGCAGCGATTGATCTATCGGGGCCGGCCTTTGGCGCAGGATGGGGACACTCTCCTGACCGTCCTCGGTGAGGAAGTTGTGAGTCTCCCTGCTCTGCTGACAATTGCACACCATCGCTGACTGACTTGGGGACAGATCCGCACTACCGACCAGCAGACGATTCACCTCGTGCTCCGAGACGTCGCAGAACCGCATCGCTCTACGACTCCGACACCGGCACTTGTTCGAGGGTCGAGCCCGGCGCCGCCCACTGCCCATTTTCCAGGCCCTTTTGGCACCACCGGTCAACCCCAACACGTCCATCATCATGGCAGTCAGCCTACAGCTGCGGCCTTTACCAGACGAACGCCTCTGCATCCGACGTCGAACCCTATGCCCTTCCCAGCACCACCCCAAATACCAGCGAACCTGACCCTGCAGCAGCTCCAGCAACTGCAGGCGCAACAGCACCAGAGCATGACGGCCTGGATGAACGGACTTCAACGTGAGGCTATGAACAGGGCCATGGCCCACCAGCAGATCAATCAGAATCAGGCTATGAGAGCGTCTATGGGTATGCATGGCGTTGGCGACACACCGGCGGCGGTCCCCAATCCTGTGGAACCCACTCGTGGACGCGCGAGCCCGCTTAGCAATCCTGAAGGGCACACGTATGTACGAGAGGGTCTCATGCCGAACGGACAGACGTATCGCGTAACGGTCAACGAGACCTTCCTCGGTGGCCAATTGAATGTTCAGCAGCCGGGCAGTCAAGGCACCTCGACGCCTCTGTCCACTGCTGACGTCCAGACCATCTTGAGGGCCGCTGACAGCAACCAAGCAACATTGGCCATGACCAACGCGATGCAGAGGAGCGCCTCAAGCACATCTCTTGCCAATGGAGGCTCATCTGTTGGCGTCACTACTCCTTACTACCCAACCCCTGGATCCAGAGCCAGCAGTAGGCGGCCTACCCCTGATCCTACCGCTCGCTCAGTCAGCGGCGGCAGCAGACATTCTACAAACGCTCAACAGCAAGCATCGTCCGGTCCTGAAGTTTATATCTTGTCTTCGCCTCAAGGTCCTCGTGCTCTATTGATCAACAACGCCACGGACTCGTACTACACTCCAAGAGGGCAGCCCCACACGACCTCAACCCTTCACCAAACCGCCTCTGCGCTCGCGAGAATGCGAGGTCGCCCTCAACATGTTGCCTGGCCAGGAGCCTTTGTAACTCCACCACCTCATCACGAAGAACAGCAACCAGCACATCAAGCCGAACCTCAACCGCAGGTGCAGCAGCAGCACCAGCCTGAGGCACAACCGCCCATGCATCAGCCTCAGGGACAGCCTGCCGCAGCAGCAGTGCCTGCCCACCCCAACAACCCGGGTATCGCTCCGCTCATTGCGCAAGTGTGGCCGCACTTTTGGCTGGTAGTTAGGCTTGCCCTCTTTGTGTGGTGGTTTACTTCGCCCAACGCCGGCTGGTCTAGGTGGATCACTGTGATTTCAATCGCGATCAGCATCTTTGTTCTGAACACTGGACTTCTAAACAATTACTTTGACCAGGCTGTGGGACCAGTCAGACGTCACATGGAGAATCTGCTACCCCTAGCTGCGCCGAATAATGTCAATGAGCCCGTCCGTCCCCGAGACGACCAGACCGTGGTTGGACGCGATGGTCAACCTGATCCGACACGAGCAGCTGCCAGGCTGGTAGCTCAGCGCAGACACGACAATGCGAACTGGTTGATGGATCAAGTGCGGCGGCTCGAGAGAGCTGGTCTTCTCTTCCTGGCTAGTATTGCACCAGGTGTTGCGGAGCGCCATATTGCTCATCTTGAAGCCGAAGCCCGCGCCGAGCGTCAGAGAAGGGAGGAAGCGGAGGCTGCTGCTGCCGCTGCGGCAGAGGCCGCGGCCAACCCTGAGAACAACACAGAAACCCAGAATAATGACGAGACGAATGAGACTTCAGGACGCAACGATACGGAGGAGGGTGAGAACGAGGCTCAGAGGGAAACGCACGGGGGAGACCAGCGTCGAGCGGAGGAGCAGCAGCCGCTATTGGCGCTGTAGGAGGGACGGAGCCCAAAGGATCGAATAAGATGAAGGATCGTTGTAAAATACAGATTACCCAGCGGACGCTCCAAGGACGTTCCTTTGCGCATGGAGTCGGGTGTAGAGCGTTGACATCGGGACTCACATCAATGCAGGTTTTTGTTTGTCCAGCGTAAAGATCAGTTTATGTTCTATCCTTTCCTATCTTGACCAGTTTACGCCGTGGATGCAACCGTGACCCAATCTGCTGCAATGCCTCAGGGCGTTCTATCCGAGTCGTCGACTTGGGTTAAGATTTTGAGTTGTTGACGGGGCCCGACACGATGGTGAAGGCTGCCCAATACCTCATAACTCAATCCTCTTTTTCACCGCCCAGGAGTGGTTGACTCCCTCTACATGAAAGCCTCGTCTCGCGTCATTTTCATCGGCCTTCCTCTATAGTATTCTCCGAATAATTACACCATAGAGGAAGGCTCATCGTTTGGAGTCGTTTCCGAAGTCTCCTCGTTGCGACCTCTCTTTTCTCGTACACGATTTCCCCGTACACGACCGACCACCAGATAACGGCCGGCTGTCTCACCCATCTTCTCATTAATCATGGGCTAGACAGCCGTCCCTCGTCCCTCAGTAGGCTTGCGGTCGGTCGAGGAGTGTTGGAGGCAAGATTAATACGACCCTTTCCTCGCCGTTTGTCGTGTGCCTTTTTCTCTGCCTTCCTCACTTACCTCTTATTTTCCTTTTACTCGTGGCTTTTTTTCGCTTTTTCTTTTTTCTTTTCTCTTCGTCTCTCTATCGTATTCATGTGGGCACAGGCTCCAGAGGATGTCAGGTTCCATCGGACCATGTCGTTCTCCCGGACTCGAAAAATCTCAGCAATGACGCCTCTACTTCGTGTCTTGCGTCGTCGATTGTTCCTATGCGCCTGATCAAGTTTGTCGTGGTCGTGGTCGATGTTTAATGCTCGTCGGCTCTCGCTCCAGGCACCATCATCTCAGACGATCAGAACGAAAGTCTCGTTACAATCCTGGAAGGGAGGGCTGGGGGTGATCTTGACCTCCTGATACGATAGCGCGGTGGCGAGCAGACAGATACCACCATTCCGACGGTCCCCAAGATGAGTGCCGCCGCATCGATACGCGTACGGCGCTTTTGCCGGTGTGAGCGAGAAGGAAGAGGAATTCAGGCAGCCTCCTGCGTACCATTGGCCTTGACCAGACCCAAGCCCCAGGCACTCCGCCCGTCAACGACCGCGGGCCCAGGACGTCTGGCGGCAGGCTGCTGGACAGCATCAGCAGGAGCAGGGACCTGCTTCTCCTCTTCCTCCTTCTTCTCCTCCTTCTTCTCCTCCTCGGGGTGCTCCGCCTCGGGAGTCTCCTCTTCTGCGGCAGGCTGTTCCGCATCCCCCTCCCCCTCCTCCGCAGAGTATTCCTCCGAGGTATGCACCGGAGAAGGGGGAGTGACGTCGCCGGCAGCGGAAGAAGAGGTGACGTCCCCGCCAACGGAGGGAGGGGTGACATCGCCGGCGACGGAATCCGGCAGCTGCCGCGGCGAAGACTGAGGGGTGGCCGCCGCGTGGAACTGTTCGCTCGCGGGCGGGGGCGGGACGTACATGGAGCCTGATGACTCGCTCATGCTCACGTCGTCGCCGTCGCCATTGGCATTGGCGCTGCCGCTGCCGCTGCCGCTGCCGCTGGCCTCTCCATTGACGACGTGCCCGTCACGGCCGCCATCGTGTCGGAAATGGCACCCTGGCCTCTTGCAGCCAAGACCGTACCAGCATCGTATGGTACTAGGGTCTTGAGCCGGGCCTGCAACCGTTGCGGCAGGAGCGGTGTTGGGGACGGGGGCCTCTTCAGGCGCAGGCGAGGCGGCGACGGCGGCAGACGCCAGCTCAAGCCCATGGTGAGGGTTAGGGGGGGCAGGGGAGGGGGAAAGGGGGTAAGCCCCCGGTCCGGATCCGGGTTCGAAGCCCGGAGGACGCGCGAGGGCGTTTGACGGGTCCGGGCCGAAGCCAGGGGGCGGGCCGAGAGGTCTGGGCTGGTGGGTGGGTCGCCAGCTCATGCCCATGGGATCGAGCGGCGGGCCGGGCAAGGGCAAGGGCAGACCCGGCGGCGGGAAGGAGGGACCGGCGTAGCCGTTGCCGTGTCTGCCGTGGACGAGGTGGTGCGGGGGCGCGTAGTAAGGTACCGGAGCACCGTATTCCGGGGGGCCGTATCCCGGCGGCGGGCGGGAGGGTCCAGCATGGCTCGAGGGCCCAGCGTACGGCGGCAGCGGCGAGTCGAAGTACGACGTCGCCTCCTCCTGCGTGCCGTCGAACGTCGGCCGGCCCAGGGCGTTGGGCATAGGATTGGCGATGCGATATCCCATCCACTGAGGCGGAGGCGGCGGCAGCGCTGGCTGGTGCTGGTGGTGGCTGTTGTTGACGCGGCCATTGTTGGTGTAATGGCCGTGGTTGACGTAGTGGCCGTTGACGTACAGCCCACTATTGTACGTGACGCTGCTGCTGTAGAGGGCGTGGGCGTGGGCGTTGGCGTTGTACCTCGCCTCCGCCAGCGCGACCTCCTCCTCCTGCTGGGCCGCGGCAGCGACCATCTCGGGCCGCAGCTCCCCGTCTCTGTGGGGGAAGTTGCAGTTTTCTCTGCCGTAGGTGCAGCGGCCCTCGAGGAAGTGGCGGCAGGTGGATCGTTTATCTCGTGGTCTGCGGTTGGGCTTTTTACTTTTGGACTTGTTGTCCTCGCGGTCGTTGTTGTGTTCCATTGTGAATAGATGGTGTAGGAGGGGGTGGGGGGGTAAGAAAGGAATTGGGTAAGTAACTGGCTAGGTGACTGGCTAGGTAAGTGGTGACTGACTGAGCTGACTGACCTGCTTGTGAGAAGAAGAAGAAATAAAAGGGATAAGAGGTGCTATAATGTAGTATAGAGAAGGGATACCGGAGATAGGGGTATTTCTACTGGGGACCTTGCGGCGCTGGCGGCGTGGGTTACTGTGGTGAATATGTATCGGAGATGGGATAGAAAGGAAGGGGTGGATCACTTTTGTATCGGAAATAGCTTCACTGCAGTACATCGGAGGTGAGTTTGGGATGAGTCTCCTATACAGGAGATGAGTTGCTGCCACAGACTCACGAACCGGCCTTGGGTCAAGGCGATTGTGGTTTGATCTTCCGTCTAGAATGGTTCGCGTCAATCACACTCATATTTTATAGTGACTCTACAGGGTGAATGAGGTACACAAGAACAGCGAAATGCGTTTGGAAACTTCAACGTGGGTGATTCACAGAACGTAGAAGCAAACAAGACGGGAACCGCGGTGGTCGTTGGTCTCGGTACTAACAGGGGGTGTCATGGTAAAACTTTACCGCCAGACAATCTACGGCTTTGATGTCGAACCCCAGAACAAACAAGCAGCAGTGACAGATTGGAAAAAAGGTCCCTCGTCATGGTAAAAAAAAATTCGATGCGACCCTCCCTTACAAGATTGCTGCAGTTGTTGCAGAACACAGTCATTCACCGTCGTGGTTGTTCAATTTTCGGACGATGAAGAACCTTACCGGGGGGCGGCGCGAGGAAAGTGATTTTCGGAGGTGGATGAAAAGTGGATCACGAGTTTACCATGTCTCCCGTCCGGCCGATCTCCCGCACCGGAGCAAAGTGGAGTCGAAAAAGGCAGGGTGGATCCACCCGACCCTACGGGCGGGGGGCACGGGGGGTACGAAGTCGGAATGCGCCCCAAAACTCTCAAGTTTGACGTGCTGAGTAAGGTAGCATCGCAGCATAGGTAGTGGACAAACCACGAAACTAGGCACGCAATCCACTCCCACCGACACCGACAACCCCCGTGCCCCCGATTAGCGACTGTGCGCGCCGCCAGCCAGCCCAGCCCAGCGAAGACGGGGAGAGGAGGCGTTCGGGTGCGGCGCCGTTTGGAGGAATTTCTGACATGAACTTGACAGGTATCCGGTGTCCGTCAATGGTGGGAATGCGATGGGGCACTGACAATAGTCTGGCGGCGGGCCGTGAGCAGGAATTTTTTTTTTCTTTTTCTTTTTAGGAGCAATCTTCCCTCGCCGTCCCTGAAGCTCTTTCATCACGGAGGTCTCGGACCCGATCACGGACAGGAAAGGGGGCAACGCTGGAAACGTACCTTACCTTCAGATTTTGACGATGCCGGGTGCCGAGAGATACGAAGAGCGGGAAGCATTACCAAAAGCTTGGGGCGTCTGGTGCGTGGGCAACCGTTTCCGGGCAATTCAGAGGAATGAGGAGGGAAGGGGCATGGATGGATCGGTAGCAGCATGAAGAAGTCGGATGCAAAAGGGGAAATACGGCGCATGATGATGGCCTGCGCGTTACAGTGACGGGACGGGGGGATGGGGTTGTATCGCTGGAAGTCCTGGACGACGGTCGCGGCCATTGGAGAAATGCTAGCCCCTGGGAGAATGAGTTTTGCGTCAGGGCCGCCGTTGTTCATCGCTTCGTTCCCGAACGCAGACAAAGAAAATGCCATTCTTGACCCGCGGTAGTGGGCTAGTCGAGTAAATAATGAGACACCAAGATTCCCTTTGCTCGCCTCCGAACCTCAATGCTTGGAGGCTGTAGGTACGGGGCAGGGAGGAATTGCGGCTGAGCACGGCCGGCGGCTTCGAGACGAAAGGGGGCACTCCCGTCTTTTTTTGGTGGTACAAAGAGACGGCCAGAGCATGAAACCGCAATGCGAATCTCTTGTTGTGAGTTGAAACTAGCGGGCTGCGCCAGGCCCTGCCCAGCCACCCTGCCATTCCAGTGGTCCCCCCCCCCCTGGCCCTTCTCTGGGCTCACGCTGCCTCGTTGGTCCTTGAACTTTGGGGCTAGGGTTGGCGGGTTGGCGGGTGGGTTTGGTCCTTCCTTGACCTAGCATGGCTTAGGCTTAACCGCCCGGACGGGTGGTTAATGCATGCCTTGTTCTGTCGCTGTGTTCTGTCCATCGTTGTTCACCATTGCCATTGTCGCGTCTTGCGAGTAAGTATGCTGATAGCGGAAACAATGGCAGAGATGGTGTTCGAGAAGGGGAGCTGCCGAGGGCGCTGGAACTTGGATGTTTGGTGGACGGTCCCGGACGGCTTGAGCAGACAAGCAAGGGAGAGTTGGTCAAGGTCTAGGCCGTAGTGCTTTGTAGATGTTGTGCCCCCCGGGAATATCATCAGTAGTCAATAAAGGTTGCACAAACCCCCGCAGACTTGTTGAGCAGGAAGAAGAAAGCAAGTCGTGGGCCGGTATTTGGCCTGCTGGGGACGGCGTACGGAGTATGGAGTAGAGGTGCCCAGTTACGCAGTGGTTGGCTGATGTTCTGCCAGCCTCCCACAACCTCCGCACGCTTGGCTGCATCCTCCCTCCTCCAAGCAAATTCGCGGTGAAGGGGACACGGTGAGGTGAGGAGGCGATGCGGGCATGGTCGGTGGGCTCCCGTCAGTCTCCTCCGGTAGGTGGTTCCAGAGCTGCCGGACGGACGGTTGCTGCAGATTCATCGGGCCCTTCGGGGGTGTTGTGCGTCTTTGATCCTCCAAACCTCCGCCCGCTCAGAGCACGTGCGTTGTCCGTACGAATAACGATACGTATCTGTTCCTGAAGAACCTTGAAAGTTGGAATAGAAGGTTATGGATACCTTGGATGACTGAGTGAGTGAGTGACAGACGTCCAAGGCTCTTGTTAGCCCACTTTTGCGGCGCAGGTACACAACAGTTGGCGGGTGGGGTCATAGGACGACCAGGTACCGAAGATGGCAAGATTTCCAGATGGGAGGAGACGGAGATGGGAGATGCTGGACGGGGAATGGAGCTGGGACCCGTCAGTCAGCGTCATCTACCTGCCTGGGTACCTTGGTTCTGAGGGACCTGACTGAGAGCGGCGACTCTGCAGTACGAATCTTGCCCCCGCCACCTGTTAGCGCTTGAGCACCAAGCAGCAATGAAAACGGTAGCGCATCTCTAACAAGATCCGGACATGTCCCGCGTACTGTGGCTCCTGACCCGCTTGTACCCTGTCCAGCTGCGCCTTGTGCCGTCGTCTCCCGTACGGATGCACCTTTTTTCCCTGGTGCTGTTACTTTTCAGTGACCCCGTCTTCCTCGTCCTGTAGTCCCGGGCGGTGCCAGTTGCGAGTGACCTCTTCCCGGAGCAGGCAGTCCTGGCCAATGGCTATCGGTACGTACACAGTAGATGTAGATGCAGATGTAGATGTAGACATCTCGGCGTTCCATCCTTCTCTTTTTCTTCTTTTCTCCTCACTTGATGTTAGACACAAGTCAACTCTTGACATTCAAGCCCTCGCTTGATTTGTTATGGCCCTCTAGACCTGGTTGTCCACGGTCCAGCTTGATTCTACCTTGACCTGCTTTTCAGAAAGAAACTTACCTCGAGACACCACCACACGCAACGAGGGATACGTACGCATTACCCATACTTGGTACCAAACCACCGGATTGCGTGTGCAGCCCTTTGCTCACACCTTGCTTTTATTTTTATTCTTTTTTTCCTCGTCCCCCTCTTTTTCCATCCCAACTTTGAACTGAACTCCTCTCTCCCATTTGATCTCTCCCTACCTTACGCTGCCTCTAGGCTTTCCAAGGTATCGTTCGGATACTTGATCCCCCGGTCCATTCTCCCTACGTAAACGGGGCCTATCTATCTACCTCGCCTTGCCTTAACTAAAGTACCTTACTTTTCGATAGTAAAAGGTGCCTAGTTACGGTAGTCATCCATCGCCCTTGGGTAGCCCGGGCAGCAGAGAACCCGGCCGACTCCCTTTGCGCCGCTGCCGCCTACATAACCTTACCTTAGGTTACCTGCTTACCTACATTAAAGTACCTTTACCCAAGGTGTCTGCGTCCCACGCCCAGCTGAGAGAGAGAGACTGAGAGTGAGAGTGAGAGAGGGGACCCGCCACAAACAAGAGCAGCCCATGCCCCATCGACCTGCGACTTGGGTCAGTCGGAGAACTGTGGCAACGCAACCATTCGCCCTGCTCACTGCTCTTCCACCGTCGTAGCGGTGCACAGCGCAGCACAGCACAACCGCCTACCTACCTACGCAGTACTTGCGCTGCTACCTCACCTCCAGGTACCTCACTCCAAAGACGACGACAACGCTCGTCTGACCTTGCCGACCGACGCTACCGTGCCTTACCTGCGTGCCTACCCACAGCACCCCGTACGCCTACCGTACCCTCACCTTACGCTCACGCCTACGCCGCCCGCCCACGCGAACCCAACTTGTCCCAAACCAACAACCAACTCTTTCGCATCTCATTCAATCCCAGCCAATCTCTCTCTCTCTCTCTCTTCGCACCGTCCGTCGACGACGACCTTCCTTTATTCTTTTTGCCGTGTCCAGTTTATTTCGCCTGTCGCCTTTCTCCTTCTCATCGCTTGCTTCACGAGTGTCGATTCGCCCGCGAATGCTGCTTTCGCGGCGGTGACGCCAGCCGTCCCTCCTCTCGACCGATCCATCCTACCTCACCACCTCTCTACTCACGAGTCCACCACCACCGCCCCACGAACGACAGCCGACCGATTGACCGGATTCCATCGACAAACGTCGTCGCCTGCCCACAATGGCACCCTCAGCTCCATCATCGGCGCTGAACGGCGTTGTCATTGGATTGCTTTCATCCTTTGGTTCCGCCGTCCTTATCGCTCTCATCTTCCTCGTCATCTACTTCTTCAGATACACGGCCAGTGGTCGCATCTTTCTCGATCGCATCGGCCGACCAGGCGAATATGACGATGAGCAGGCTTTTGCCCGGGAGGAGGCCGAGGCTCTCGAGTCTATGGACGATATGCAGAAGACCGAGTACCTCAGGGCAAAAGGTAGGCAACCTTCGTATTGTCCTTACCGCGATATCCGCACACGACTAACCAAACTCCCGTTGTAGCATTCATCCAAGCGAACCCCCCCGAATCCGTTCAAACCGACATTTCTCTATCGCAATACCTCGCCATTCAAGAAAAGGGTGTTTCTGCTTGGGAATTTGAACCCGAGCTGGAAATCGCAAACTGTTTCGTCGAAGGCCGCACCGAGATTGAGTTCTTCGACTCTGAATGCACCGTCATGAGCAACTTGCCTGTGCCCAAGCAAAACGAGGTCTACTACTGGGAAGCCAAGATCTACGATAAGCCCGAAAATACCCTCCTCAGCATCGGCATGGCTACCAAACCGTACCCGTTGTTCAGACTACCAGGTATATGGCATTCCAGCCCCTCGCTGCAACCGCATGACGCTAACCGTCCAGGCTTCCACAAACATTCCGTAGCATACCTGTCAGCAGGCCAGCGCCGTTGCAACCAGCCATTTGCCGCAACCCCCTACGGACCTCAGTTCGTTCAGGGCGATGTTATCGGTGTTGGTTATCGTCCCCGAACGGGCACCATTTTCTTCACCCGCAATGGTAAGAAGCTGGAAGATGCCGTTCACGGTGTAAAGTCGCAAAATTTCTTCCCTGCCATCGGTGCCAACGGGCCCTGCATCGTCCACGTCAACTTTGGCCAGGCCGGCTTCGTCTTCATCGAGGCCAACGTGAAGAAATGGGGTCTTGCCCCCATGACGGGCAGCCTGGCACCGCCGCCACCGTATGGCTCCGAACAGGGCGATATCCTGCTCGAAGCTGGACGTAAGGACGGATACACAGGCACCAGCGGCGGCGGCGGCGGACAGCAGCAGCGGGGCCACTCTCAGACACAGTCCTACTCGCAAAGTGGCTTGGGACCTCAACATGGGCGGACGAGAAGCGGAAACTTCAGAGTACTTCCACCGAGGAGCCCCGGTCCCGTAAGAAGCCCGACTGACATCTCCCTGACGCACTTTGTGTCCGACGATGAGGGCGGCGAGCCAAGCAGCAGCATCAATCGCGGGCACGAAGGGCAAAGCGTCGTAGGGCTTGGGCTTCAAGACGCCTTGAACCCGCCACCCGAGTATACGAGCCCCGACCACTCGGAGGCCGGCAGTCGTCGGAACAGCACAGACAGCGAAAATACGCCGTTGATCCGCGTTCTTAATCGGAGTCGAGGCGCCTCGGCAGCCGCTGCGGCCGGACCATCGCACCCACCGATACCTAGCTACACCGATGCGGTGAGAGCCGGCGCGGGGCGGGAGGGGAATAGCACTCCGCGATCCAGCAATCTACGCGGCAACCGGTCGAGGTCTCAGAGCGCACAATGATGTTTGAAAATTTGAAATCTTGCTGGGCAGGAGAAAACGGTACCATACCCCCGAAGAAGCATCAGAAGAAGCCTGGTCGAACGGAGTTGAGGACGGCGGAACAAGGGCAAGCCGTCATAATGTGGAGTTTGGGGGTCCTCACCAGTCAAGGATGAGAAGAAGCCCCTCCAAACCTGGCGAATCTTGGAGTTTGGCATTTTGGAATAGACGGGATGCTGGTTTGTTTTTCACCCAAAGGGGACAATGGGAGGGGAAAGATTCCTTTTTTTTACTTTGTTTTGTTTACGTGGTTTGTCCCGGCCGCGAGCGTCATGATACCTTTGGACCACACACACACATATACACCCGCATCGAATTGACGCGCATATCTACTCTCTCTTTTTACCAGCTTCAGATTTGTGGTGTTGTGGTGGTGTTAGCCTCCCATCCCGAATTTCTGTTTCCACTCCGATTGTACGAAGAACACCAACCATCCCCCAAAAAGTAGGAGTCGCAAGGAGAGTCTCCCACTGCCCGACAAAAAAGGGTCATGGAGAATACACATGTACACAGGCATATACTGCATCAATCATACCAACCTTTGTGCTGTCCAACATTTTGCGTCCTGCATGACTGTGATACATGATGTCAAGAGAAATTCTGACTACGGAGTACTATCGTCATTTCTGTGTAAGTGACCAAACAGGATCGAAGAGGTCCCCCATCCCCGAGTCAAGGTCATAATGTCATTTGGGGTGGTGGTGGGACCGCCGTTCATGACGCAAGTCCACCGAAAGGCAAGCGGGAATTTAGACTTTTGGGGGGGGAGGGAGCAAGTCATTCTTACCTTATTCCCTGCTTGTGCATGTCAGCTTTCTTGCACGTGCAATCTCATGGCAAAAGTGGCCGGCCATCCGATCCAATCCAATAGGTCGCAAGTCTCCCCGACCAATAGCCAAACACAGACTGGCGCTTACTTTTGATTCGTCGAAAGCGACAACCACTCCAAAAAGCCAACATCAGAAGTGGATATCGTGGGATTTTAAGAGCAAAATTGAGGACGGGAGAGAAAATGAAAAGCGAAAAAAGACATACAACACCAGGTATTCGCTGGTCGTCACCGACCCAACTACTAATCCGGCCCTTATTGGCTTATCTATGGGAGAGCGGACGGGATCCCGAGTTTTCCAATGGGTATGGTCGTATGTGGTGGTATGAGGGCGAGAGGGAATTCATAATGCGTGTTCTGAGGTTGTCGTAAAGAAGGGGGAAGGACGAGATAGGAGGATGTTGGGGGGTCGTAACTTGAATCATATAGCTAGAGAAGTGAAGAACTTTTTTATAATGACTTCACCAACTTGAAGTGGCATCCGTGGACCTTGCAAAGCGTTTGCTTTGGACCAAGCACTACCTCGATCCCATCTTCCTCACATACTTCTACCACCACCCCAATGTTAACCACTTTTAAAGCAACAAGGTCGAAAAAGAAATACAAAGCAATGACCAGGCTTTTTCCTTGATCTTACGTATTTGATTTTTATTTTTTTATTTTCATCTTTAAATTCGGCACAGAGGTACTGGTAAATGCGCTGGTCTATTGGGGTGTTAAATGTACGCTTGTTCTAAGTATTGGGTGAGTGGTGTGAACCGCTCTTCAAAACGGATGGAGTAAAATATAATACAACCGAACATGCACCATTTCGGGCAGTGAAGTCGCTCTTACGTGTTTTACCGTTCAATTCATTCTAGAGTATAAGTTCAACTTACAGAAAAGCTGACTTACTAGACATCAACAAACTTGGTACCTAGGCGCCTTAAAGAGGATGTTGGGAAAATGCACTTCTGCCTGATTGCGACCTGCATAGCCACCGGTTCACCAACCATGCTTCAGCACCACAAGAAATCATTCAAGATAGTTGTACCTTCCTCCTCCCCCTTCCCCGCTCCACGCCTAGCTCATTATCCTTCATGTGCTCGTTCCACATTTGCGGCATCATTCCGAGTCTTTCACTTCCATGGAAGTGGCACTGGTTCAGAGGCCACAGAGCCTGCCGTCGTACCGCTACGAACCGTTGAAACACCCAGACTCGACACGCGTGCTCGTACTCCAGCCCGCAGCCTCATTCAAATCTCAACTGCGGTGTTCCATGATCCAATACAGTCGGCAGGAGCAGCTTCGCAGCAGAGACACGTCCCGAAACTAGTCTGCCGTATCGTACACCTGGGGTCTGCCCGATTTCTCTATCGACCTCATGATTGATCAAAGCAGCGTTGGCGACGATATCATCACGCACAAGGAGTCGCTGTTGAGAATCACACCGACTGTCGATAGCATTCTGCGACACCTGCGCGATCCTGACGAGTCGCTATACCTCTGGATTGACGCCCTGTGCATCGACCAACAGGATGAGAATGATAAGGCGTAACAGATTCCACAGATGGGCGAGATTTACAGGTGCGTCGAGACGGTACACGTCTGGCTTGGCGACGTCGATGCCGATGAAGTCGCGGTGGCATTTGCCAACATACGCATGGTACATGCGATCCCAGCGGCGACCGAGCCCTCCAGGATGGGTCTTTGCAATAGCCTGACGATGCTGACGCAAAAGCCATGGTTCAGCCGAAGATAGGTCATCCAGGAGATCAAGCTTGCAGATCGAGCCGTCTTGCGTTATGGAGAGCACTGTGTTGAGTACGCACGCTTCCGAGCAGCTTGGTACTTGGTGGAGAGTCACCTGCTAACTCAGGGCAATCTGGGATATTTGCGACATTTGCTACGGCGTGATACAACGGATGACCTCTTGGAACTGCTTTGGGGATTCCATACGGCCAAGTGCTCAGACCCACGAGATAGTCTTGCAGCTTTGCACTGCTTCCTACCCCAGAGCGAACAACAGATTGATCTCCAGTATGGCCAGATCGGCTGGAAGGAAATGCATCGCCGCCTAGCTGAGAGATATATCAATAAAGGCACTCTTTCGGCGAGTAGGGTCATTCTGCGCCTTTTCGCGTTTGGCCCGGCTGCTGGGAGGAGCCTAGACGACGCCGAGTGTCCGTCTTGGGTCCCTGATTGGTCTGGGGTTCGACAGCTGGGAATGGCGTCGGGCGACTTGCTTGTGGATTGCCTGGAATCAATAGATCGCGGCGACAAGCCTTGGATCGACTGCTCCGATGAGATGGGCGACTCGAAGACTGAAGGTCCTTATTCAGAACCCTACTTGAATGACAACTTATTTGGCGTGTTCGGATCCGTCAAGACTGACTCTGCAACGAAATTTTCCGCTGGGCAGAAGAAACTACGGGTCAGGTGGTCGCCAATTCGTGATGGCCTCTATGGGAGGAGTGCCGGACTGGTCCTGAGGCTACCGCGAGAACTAGTAGTCAAGAAGGAAAAGTTATGGAAACACGTACTCTCATGTCTCGAGCCGATCAAAGACGAACGTCTGACACTTTCAAGTTGGCGCAGGGTCACGACATTATTTGCATTCATCCTAAGAAGTAAGGACATTGTGTCAGAGGACAAAGACCACCCGAGCCGTTGGTCTTTCAAAACGCTCACTAGTAAAATGTACAAAGCACTCTGGACTGGCTTCGTGAACCCAGAGTCCCTTGCCAGGGAGCAGATACTGCTACTCACCTTAATTGGTAGTGTCCTTCAAAGGTTCGCTTTGGTTGTGCTTCATCCTTTGCCGTACATTTGGTCTAGTACGGGTTGGTACGATCGTCCTAGCTTGGAACAAGAGTATGGTTTGGCGCCTCACGACATGGATTTTGGCGATATTTTCATCCCGTTTGACGTAAAGAACCCGCAAGATTCCCCTCGAGACCGTTGGATATTCATGTACTGCGAAGAACCTCTGGTCGAGGTATCGATATGCTTGCGGCCGATGTCGCCCAAGCTAGTGTACGAGGTTTCAGATATATCCCAAGACATGCTGTCATTACCATGGGACCAGATTGCAGCCATGGTCGGCGGCTCTCAGAAAACCTACAGAGATCGGCCAGACGATCCAGAGTTTCCCTATCCTCCGAGCCACGTTCGAACAGCACGATTCTTGGGGCCTGCCTACTGTGTCACCAGGTCTAGTGATACCGTTTTTACTGCTCAAGAGTCTAAATCCAAATTTGTGCAAGAATCAAAAGTTTTGAAAGACTATAGAGACGCTTGCGCGGCAGGTCTCTGCCGCCCATTAAACATTGACATAGTGTAGCTCAGCTTAGGATTACTAGCGAAAGAGCCGAGTCTTTGAGGAAGTCGACTCTCCTACTAATTTTCTAAGCGTCCATGGTGTGTGTATGTGTGTACTCAATTTCGCGCCTCGAGGGAAAGAACTCAAACCCGTCTCAGTTGAAGATTCAACTAACGGATTTAAACCCCGGTCGTTTCTCTCTTCAATGACCACTTAAATTTGGATACAGCCCCGATTCACCCTCGGACTTGTCGCACTCAAGACCTCACTCACGCCTCAAATCCCTCCTTGCATTCCTTCCTCCACCGACTCAGCGCCGACCGCCGCTGAACAACATCCTCCACAGCCCAAAGCATTCTCTTGGCGTCCATCTCCTCCGTCACCTCGTTATCGGGGCAAATCACGTAGAACTCGTCTTTTGCCATCTTGGCCTCCAAGTAGTCGGCGACTTGCTCCGGAGTCCACGCAGCAGCAGGCTTCTCTGCTGACGTGCGTTTCTCTTCGCTGCGTCCGAGACTTGTAAACGTCCATCCGGGCACGAGACGAAAAACGCTGGTGTTGGGAGAAGAGTCGCGGAGGTCGTAGAAGAGGTGTCTGGCGATGGTTTTGACGGCGGATTTGCTGGCGTTGTAGGCTGGGTTGCCGGGTGGGTTTGTGATGCCTGGTTTTGAGCCGGTGATTACGATGGCGGTGGAGGAGGAGGGTGGTGATAATGATGATGATGATGATGAGACGGCGGATTTAAAGGTTGAAATGCCATTGATCACGCCAAAGAGGTTTACGTTGAAGATTGTTTGAAAGGTCGAGGGGTCGTCCCACGCGGAAGAAGGCTGGATCCCGGCGTTGGGGAAGAGGAAGTCGATACGGCCTGGCGAGGTTTGTTAGGATGTCTGTGTCCTAGGGCGTAAGGGTCACATCGAGCGAGGCAAATATCCTACCCTGAAAATCGCTGTCGACACGTTTCTTGAGATGAGCCCAGTCCTTGAGATTGCTGACGTCTGCTTTGGCGGTTAAGACCTTGTCTTCTCCCAAGCTACATTGTGCCAAGGCCAGGAAGCCGTCGTTGTTGTCGACGATGAGGGCCTTCATGCCGTGGTCGAGGCATTTTTGGGCGACGGCGAGGCCGATGCCTGATGCGCTTCCGGTGATAAGGGCTGTTTTTGAGGCTGTGAAGACGAATGGAGGCATTGGGGCAACGGGATCAGATTCGAAGTCGGGGTTGGCGATGGGATTTTGTCAAGGCACAAGCGAAGCTACGAATGACTTTCGAGGTAAGGCTGTCTAAGTTCCTGATTTCCAAGAACTTTGAGCATCTGATACCTTGTCCTCTGTGGTTCAGTAGCTCTGGCATTCCGTAAAATCGTATATAAGTGTTACGCCGTCGAAAGACATGATTACCAATCTCTCGTTGTCTTTGGGAGGGGTTGCTCGACCTCCACGGCGATGGGAAGCGTCCCATGCCTTATGATGTGTAATACTCAGGTTGGCCGATTGATGTGGGAGGGTCACTTTTCGAGGAGTTGGAGGTGATCGCCATGATAAGGGGAACTCCAGCTTCGGGTCTCTCACACATTGATTCTTTCTATTCTAGTTCAAATCAACTCGGTTGCATGCTCTCTCTCCGGGCGATGCGGGGCTCTTCAAGGATGAAGTCAAGCTGTTGGTTGGGGAAAGTTTGCCTCAGCCGGTCGTAGAAACCATTGCCAGAGAGCATCATCGAAGCAAGGAATACGCCATGGCTGAGAAGGTAAGAGGACTTGAGGAGAACGCGATATGCCTTTCTTAAGTCGGGACTGCATACGATGGACCAACGAGTTTCCTGGGCTGCATGCAAGGTTTGTTAGCTTGCCCGCGCATCTGCCCAACGGCGTGGGATCCCATCGGCGCGGGCCGACAGACCCTCACAGATCGGCAAGTGGATCACTCGTGGAAGAGACCTCCGTTGAGTCCGTTCCTCATGTATACTCTGTATAAATAAGCTAATGAAGTTACTGGGTATAGTAGCCAAATTCACTGATAAAGAGCCCTCCTCCATCCCGCTGTGCCATCCGTGTCCTACATCTTCTCCTTCTGCTGCGCTACCTTCAAAGCCGAACACCACCAGGCACGTCGACAGGTATATATTTTGGCAGCGGGCTTCGACATGTCTAGTGCGTCAAGATCATCCAAAACACCGGCATTGACGAATTTGAACGGGGAAGACGTCCCGTCAGCCCAGAGCGTTACGCCGCAGGTCCCGCAAAAGTGGTTGACGACCTCGTTGCCGCTGTCATATGTGCTGGTGTAGTCTGTCGGCGTGCCCTTGTCACATGCAAAGGCGGCGGCAGGGACTAGGATGCTTACACCGAAGGCACTGCCGGATGCTTTGCGGCAGTCGAGACAGCGGCAGGCGGTCTGGGTTCGTGGGTCAGTGGACGGTGTAAGTGAGGAGGCCGAACAAGGTGGGCTCTCAGTAATGACGTGCTGTGGTTATAGGGTCTACTTTGGACGATAACTTGATGTTGCCGCAGCGGCAGCTACCGCAGGACGATGAAAAGGTATCGAGATGGGCGTCACTATGCGCCTGTAGCCAAACCAGAGACGAAGATAAGCAGAGACCCAGCGTGAGTCTGTGAGAGTCTCTAAGAGTCTGTAACCATCAAGATCAATCAAACCCAGGCAAATGATGGTAACCGATCATTAGTCGTTCAAAAGCCTGCACGGCCTGCACGTATTGATAGACATAGTGATACAGTATAGTTCTCGCTCCCGGATATCCGAGTGGAATCTCTTACCGAAAGGAGGCAGGGTATCCGCCGGGCCGCCGTCTCCGATGTGGAGCCAAGATTCGCCGGGCGTCGCGCTTAGCTTCGGCGTCCGTGATTCCGTCTGAATCGGTGGCCGGACACAGCTCTTTCTTTAGTTCGCGACCTCCATCACGGGTGATTATGGTCTGTAGACGGAACAATTCCCTGATAAATGGCGACGACTCTACCCTTGCTTAGGTCGAGCCTTCGGCCCAACCTTCACAGCCTGCTCCTGAAATTTCGTCCTTCAACCGTGAATACAATGGGCATGACGTGTAAGATTCCGAAATCAACTCACGGGGCTTTCTGGTTCCGTTCCCAATTTCTAATGCAGACTTACGGCAGAGCCCGGGTAGGTGAGATTAGTCGGTATTCTTGGCTTGGCAGTCTCACAACTGCCGACTTTCATACTCCGGGTGATTAATTAGAGTTTCGCTTCCTCCCACGCATACTAGTCCAGGTACAGGTCTGAGTTGTGGCCTTGAGTCAACGTCTGTCAGAGGCTAGCAAACTCGAGGTATCCTGCTTTCGAGTCCCAAGACTGCTCTGTAGGTCATGACCTCCCACATAAGATCAGGCATATTGGAACTCAGTTGGTTCGGCGAGCTTTGGCTCACTAGCTTGGAATTGACGAGCCTGTCTGTACAGGTCACTGACGAGAATGTAGGGCATAATGGGGAATAAGTGATTCTCTATGGCGGCTATTTGTACAAATTCTAGTCGTTCCTATCTATGTATCCAACTCCGGCTATACGCTCAAATTAACATGCTCTAATAAGCTGAAACAAAACAACCAGCAAAACAGAGAAAAACGGGCGTAGCGCCCCGAACTACTTCTCACTCGGGAAAGGGGTCAACCACTTGTATCTGCCGTTGAAAACCTCCTTAGCCGGTACAAAGTCCAACACTTTGGCCCTCTGAATGGACGGAGACATGTTGAACGTGAAGAAGATCTTCTGCACGAACGAAAAGGCCATGACGTATCTCGCCATGATCCAGTCAAACGTCGACGCCCAGGCCTGCGACCTCGTCAACCGCGCCGACGCATCCAAGTCCTTCTCCAGAAGAACGTGTCTCTCCTCGCGATAGCTGTCAAAGAGCTTCTGCAGGTCGTCGAGAGAAGGGCTGTTGCCGTTGGTCGTGAGCTTCTGCAGCCGGTTGCACACGGCGACGACGTCCTGGAGGCCGTTGTTGAAGCCCAGGCCGGCGTTGGGGGTGAACTTGTGCACGGCGTCGCCGACGAGCACGATGCGCCCTCCCCAGCTCCAGTTCTTGCAGATCCCTTCCTCGAGACCAGCGCCGCCCGCGCTGTACCGCTCCTTGAAGACGTCCTTGACCGTGATGTTCTCCGCGACGGGCCAGTCGGCGAACCGCTCGGCGTACTCCTCGAGCTGCTCGGGCGTGAAGGAGATCCTCTCGGGGATGGGCTCTGTAAGCTTCTCGTAGAGGAAGATCCAGCCCCTCTCCTTGCCGGTGAGGTACATGATGGACTTGTCCTTGCTCTGCGTCTCGCACCCTTGACCGGCGTCGGTGGGTCGCGGGAACGATGCCCACAGGCACTGGTACTGGATCTTGTACGGGTTGATCGGATCCCAGTCGCGGTTGGGGTCCTCAGCGAGGGCGAGCTTGCGCATTTGACGTCTGGTGGCGGAGTGGACGCCGTCGGCGCCGATGATCATGTTTCCAGAGTACGTTGAGCCGTCTTCGCAGGTCACCGTGACGCCCTTCTCGGTCGACTCGATGTTTGCGAGCTTCTTTCCGGTGAAGTAGCGCGCTCTTGCTGATTCGGGGAGGGTGTCGTAGAGGACCTGGATCAGGTGGGCACGGTGGAATGTGGTGAGGCCTGCGCCGTGACTGTAAGCAGCAGTTGTTAGCATGGGATTTCTACGCATTGAGAACGAGCAGTAGTTGACTACTTACTTCTTCGTCATGTAGTCGCCAATCAGGTTTTGCTTGAACTTGTGGCCGTCGGAGGTAAATCCTGTGCCTGATGACAGCGTGTTGCCAATTTCCATGAGATTTTCGAGAATCCCAAGTTGATGGAACACACGCAAGGAGCCAGGACTGAGGACCAAGCTGGCGCCAACATCATCGACAATGCTGTCTCTCCTCTCAAGAACGACAAAGTCGATGCCAGCCTGCTGCAACACGTGTGCCGCCGTGATGCCACTCGGTCCGCCGCCAACGACGATGACTTTAAAGGGTTGATCAGTCATGGTAATTAAAGTGAAGTGCTTGCAAATAAAATGTATCAAAAGAGCTGTGCTAGAATGTCTGTGATATCTGAATGCTCAGATTTGAGAAACCTCACTCGCATCATCGTTGGTATTTCAACACAGTCCCGATGTAAGTGGCTCGATACCGAATTACCGTTTTTGGACATTTCGATGGAGCAAGTTCCACCACTTGCAACGTCACGTACAATGTCGGCGTCGTCGCGAACTCCTTGGGCCCTTAACCCCGCAGAGATTCTGGACTCTGCCCAGCTGTTGGAAATGTCCGCTGGGCTCTAGGGTTTATCCGATTGACGCGCCTCACAGAAACAAGAGCCATCAAAATGTCTGAGCGGGATTCGGGGCCCTGGGAGGCCTTCATCAACGTGTTCACGGGAAATCACGTCCAAGGATGGCATTCGTCCCAGTTGGAATAATCCGGGGTAACTAGTCATTGAGTTCGCATTTTGATAGGGGGCTTCTAAAGGGGTGTTCCAGGTCAAAGTTCCGGGAGCGCTTCACAGATCGACGGGAAGCTCCACAACCTTCGGGAAACCAAGTCCGCTTTGGGAAGTCTTTCCCACTGGTTACCACCGAAACTTGTCGAACAATGCTTTACTTCTACGGATGAACTTCGTCCAAAACTTGATCAGAGCTCGGACTATTGCATGTAGCTCGGTCATCAAGACTGCAGTTCGGACTGGAGGAACATGGCGAACTTGGGACGCTGTGCATGAGATTCTTCGACTGCACCGTGGCTCAGTGAACCTTTCTGTCTTGCCTTATAATTAGGTACAGCTCTGACTGCACAAAGCAATCCATCAACTACTGTAACATAATATACATAATCAAATAATTCAGCGGGAATTCTTTGAAGTTTACGCGTCTAAGTAACATCGGGCTGATGTTTGTAAACGAGGGTGGCTTGGGTGGCTATGTACATGGTAGATTGGCACGCAATTCCCTTCACGGTTCATACACAAGTGCCGACGCCGTCTTCATGGCCTATTGCCACTAGCAGTAGGAGAGACACGGCATCGAGCTCGGCGGTCGGTACATTTGGGGGCCCGATTCAGGATTCCGGCTTCTGTCGATGGGGGAAACGGGATGTAGTCCGACGGGTTTCCGTCCCCAGTGGAAAGGTCCGTCTCTCGTATTTTTACGTTGATCGCACTCGCATGTCAGGGTT